AATCACCAACATCATTCTTCTCAGACCTGGAAATGACAATACAGAAATTCATATGGAAACATAAAAGACCATGAATAGCCAAAACAATCCTTAGAAACAAAACAAAACAAAACAAAACAAGAGGAGGCATCATTCTTCCAGACTTCAAACTCCACTATAAAGCTACAATAATCAAAACAGCCTGGTATTGGTACAAGAATAGGCATATAGACCAATGGAACGGGATTCAATTTTTCAACCAACTCCTCTTCAACAAAGCCTCCACCAACAACCAATGGGGAGACGAGAACCTAGTCAGTAAATGTGCTTGGAAAACTGGCTGACCAACTCTAAATGGATCTAAGACCTAAATGTAAAACCTCAAACTATAAGAATCTTAGAAGAAAATGTAAGAAACACCCTTATGGAATTAGAACAGGCAACCAATTCCTGATCAACTCTCCAAAAGTGAATGCCATAAAAGATAAGATAGACAAGTGGGACCTCAAACTGAAAAGCTTCTGCAAAGCAAAAGAAACCATCAAGAGATTGGGGAAACAGCCCAAGGACCATCATGAGATTGGGGAAACAGCCCAAGGGAAAAAATATCTGCCAACTGTAAATCTGACAAAGACCTAACATTCAGGATCTACAGAGAACTCAAACATGCTGAAAGGAAAACAAACAAACAACCCTATTTTTAAAAGGGGAAAAGATATGAATAGACACTTCTCAGAAGACATATTAGCAGTCAACAGATACATGAAAAAATGCCCCGCCTTACTAGTCATCAATAAAATGCAAATTAAAACCACACTGAGATACCAGCTAGTTCCAGACAGGATGGTCATTATCAATAACTCAAAAAACAACAGATGCTGGAGAGAATGTGAGGAAAAGGGAACACTTCTACACTTTCGTTGGGAATGTAAACCAGTACAACCTCTGTGGAAAACAGTGTGATGATTTCCAAAAAAATCTGAAAAAAAAAACCAAAAAACAACTTTCCATACAACCCAGCAATCCCCTTCCGGGAATGAACCCAGAGGAATGCAAATCACTCTATAAAAAAGATAACTACACACACGTTTATTGCAGCACTATTCACAATAGCAAAACCATGGAACCAATCGTGCCGCTCATCAAAAGTGGACTGAATAAAGAAAATGTGCCACATTTATAAGATGAAAGATCATGCCACCATAAAGAAAAAAAAATTATAAACTTTGCAGCAACCTGGATGGAATTAGAGTCCATAATACTCAGTGATTTATCACAAAGATCTGAGTACCACATGTACTCACTCTTAAGTGGACCCTGAACATTTATCATAATACTATAAGAAAGGGATTGGCAGTAATGGGACACTGCGGGGTGGGGCACATAACATCAATTAGGGTACCCACACTTTACCTGTATAATGACCATGTATGTATTTAACTCTGAATTGTACTGCACATTTTTAAAAGTAAAAAGAAAGGAAGGAAGGAAGGAGGGAGGGAGAGAGGGAGGAAGAAAGGGAAGGAAGGGAGGGAGGAAGGAAAGAAGGATGTTGTAATTACACTCCTACACAAGTTGGGCAAATAAATTCATATCAGTCTGAAACTCACATTACTGTCTCTAATATATACTCCTTAAGAGTGAGGTTTCGGCCGGCTCGGTGGCTCAGCCTGTAATCCCAGCACTTTGGGAGGCTGAAGCGAGTGGATTGCCTGAGCCCGTGGATTTGAGACCAGCCCGGGCAACTTGGCGAGACCTCATCGCTACAATAAATCAAAAAATTAGCTGGGTGTGGTAGCACACACCTGTAGTTCCGGCTCAGGAAGGAAGGATCCCCAGAGCCCAGCAGGTCAACTGCACTCCATCCTAGGCAACGGAGTGAGACTTCAACTCAAAAAAAAAAAAGAGTGAGGTCTCATGAAATAATAACAACAACAACAAAAACAATACAGTAAGCCGGGATCGGTGGCTCAGCCTGTAATCCTGCGCCTTTGGGAGGCTGAGTTGAGTGGATTGCCTGAGCCTGCGGGTTCGAGACCCGCCTGGGCAGCGAGACCTCATCTCTACAATAAACCAAAAAAATCAGCCGGGCGTGGAAGCACATGCCTGTAATTCCGGCTACTTGGAAGGCTGAGGCGGAAGGATCGCTGGAGCCCAGCAGGTCGAGGCTAGGGTGGCTGGGAGCGGCCACTGCACTCCAGTCTGGGCGACAGAGTGAGACTCCAACTCAAAAAAATAATAATAATAATAATAATACAGTATTGTCTATTGTAGGCTGGAAAAGACCCCCCCCACACACACCTACAACCTAATCCCTGGAATGTTGCCTTATCTGACTATAAAGGGACTTTGCAGATGTGATTAAGTTAAGGATATTGAGATGGGAAGATGACTCTGGTTTATCTGGGTAAGCCCTAAATGCAAATCATGTGTATCCTTATATGAGGGAGGCTCTTTTGTTTTGCTATAAAAATGAAAAACAATTTCAAGAAATGTATAAATAGCTATGGGGTAATTTCCAAAATACATTTTTTAAGTAATAATTAAAAAAAAAAAAGCCATGGTACGCTCTCTTTTATGTAGAAGAGAAAATAAGATGTATCTGCTCACATTTATAAGAAGAAACACAGGAAGAATAAACCGAAATCTAATGAAATTGGGTTACCTACAAAGATAAGGGTTGATGGGAACTGGTTAGAAGGAATAGGGAATGGGTGACACTACTCTGAAAATACCTTTTAGTATACAGAAGTCCCCAACATACGAACAAGTTCGGTTCTAAAAGTACGTGCATGAGTTCATTTATTGTAAGTCCAACAAAGTTAGCTTAGATACCCAACTAACACAACTGACTATATGGTACTGTAGGTATTTAACAGGCTATACTGACACCTGGTGGAGAGAAATGATACATTAAGAAAATGCATATGTGCATGGTTAAGGTTTGGAACTTGAAGGCATGTATGTAGGGGAGTTACTGTAGTTTTATCAAAAAGGTAGAGGGAAAAATCTAAAGTGTATACAAACAGAAACAAATAAACCTAATTATATTTCAAATAAGTACAATAACCTTTAAAATGCTGCAAACAAATCTTGAACTCTACTTAGTAGGTTTATTTCTGTAGTGGCATGGGAGCAACAATTCCAAAACTGCTTTCTATGTACTGCAGGACTGAATATGAATAACTATATGTGTAATGTTTGAAGACATGATTCTCAGTGTAGGAGAATACAAATATAGAATGGAAGAAAGCTAAGAAAAATCCAATAGTGCTAAATGGACTTGGAGGCATAAATATAAATTCTTGATTTATAGCTAAATAGACAGAGAAATATATATTAATATGTATATATGCAAATGTATATGACTATAGGTAGATGTGCTCATATGTGTGTGTCTGCTTAAAGGGTCTAAAAGCAATGCATGTCATGTACAATAAATAATCTAATACTTAGATCTTGATTTCTAAACACTCTTCTTCAATGAGATGAACCAGAGCTTCTTGAAGAAATGACTGATTCCAGAGAATGGGAAGGGTAAGTATAAAACCCATGTTGTGCCAGAAATTAAATGCTTAAAAAAAACCATGTTGGAATGACTTGAAGAAGCTTTTATTTACTAAATCTGTGACAAATGAACATCAAAATAAATACAAGAAAAATAGATTAAAACTCATTAAAGGAATCTGGCAAATTCACTTTAACCAGAAGAGGAAAGTTAACAACATCAATAAAGAAATCAATGGTATCACTGCCTCTTGATATGATGCACTGAGAAGGACTTAGAGGTATTTCTGAGGCACTTCAAAACTACTTCGCCCAAAATGTGTAACTGAGTCCAATAATGATGAAATACCAGACAAAGCCAAATTAGAGGAAACTCTAGAAAATAACTGCTCTGTACTTCAAAACTACAAAAAATGTCATGAAAGACAAAGAAACATGTGAAAGACATGGAAACTCAATGCATGTAATCATGACTGGTTCTTCGATCATATAAAAAAACATAAATACAGGCTGGGCGTGGTGGCTCAAACCTGTAATCCCAGCACTTTGGGAGGCCGAGGTGAGGGACTGCCTGAGCCCATGGGTTCGAGAACAGCCCAGGTGACTTTGCAAGACTTCATCTCTACAATAAATAAAAAAATTAGACCAGCATGGTAGCATGTGCCTGTAGTTCCAATTACTTGGAAGGCTGAGGCAGAAGGATTGCCTGAGCTCCGCAGCTAGACACTGGGGTGGCTGTGAGTGTGCCACTGCACTCCAGTCTGGGAGACAGAGTGAGACTCCAACTTAAAACAAAACAAAACAAAACAAAACACGTAAATAATATTAGGATAATTGGAGAAATCTAAATAAGGTCTGCAGATTAGATAATAGTACCAAAGCAATGTAATTTCTTGATTGTGATCATTGTATTGTAATTCTGTGTAAATGAATGCTCTTGTTCTTAGGAATCACACTCTGAAATATTTAGGGATAAAGGAACATGAAGTATACAGCGTACTCCCAAATGACTCTTTTTTTCGTTTTGTTTTGTTTTTTGGTCTTTTTTTTTTTTGAGTTGGAGTCTCACTCTGTCACCCAGACTGGAGTGCAGTGGCCGCTCCCAGCCACCGCAGCCTCGACCTGCTGGGCTCCGGCGATCCTTCCGCCTCAGCCTTCCGAGTAGCTGGAACTACAAGCGTGCGCTACCATGCCTGGCAAATTTTTTTATTTATTGTAGAGATGAGGTCTCCCCAAGTTCGCGGGTCACAAACCCGCGGGCTCAGGCAATCCACTCACCTCAGTTTCCAAAAGGCGCGGGATTACAGGCTGAGCCACCGAGCCCGGCTCCAAATGACTCTTTAAAAGTGTATGAGAGTGTGAGTGTGAGTGTGACTCTGTGTGTGTGTGTGTGTGTGTGTGTGTGTGTGTGTGTGTGTGTGTGTGTGTGTGTGTGTACTCAGGAAAAGAGAAAAAGCAAATGCGGGAAATGTTAACAATTGGTGAATCTGAGTAAAGACTGTATAAGAGCTTTGTATACTATTCTTACCTTTTTTGAAATTATATCAAAGTAACAAATTTTTAAAAATAATCTCCTAATAAAAAAGATAATACAATAAACAAACATTTGAAATAGGCTTGGAAAAAAGGTGAGAGTTAGGCAACCCCTTTGGATCCTCTCCCACTTTTCTGTCCTCTCGATAAATTCTGCTTTCTCACTAAAAATAAGAAAAGGTGAGAGTTGTAAATATTGATGCCATATATACATACCTGTCTGTATTCGTGTTAGACTGAGAGTTTAGAGAGTTATCTAACTCATTCTCGCTTTCTTCTGACTGGCTATCAACAGTTCCTTCTTCATCATCTACTTCATTAAGAGCCTATCTCAACAGAACAATAAAAATAACACAGGTTGGCTATGTATACACTCATTCTTTCTTTCTTTCTGTCACAACACAAGAAAGACCCCTTCTCCTAAGGCCCTTTACATGTCTTTTAAAGTCCAAACCCTTTAATGTCCTTCCACTCCATCAACTGTCCTTTCTCTCTCCTGTATTTTCAACCTCTCTCTCTACTAGCTTCAGTTCATAAGCATTTATTTATTTTATTTATTTTTGAGTTGGAGTCTCACTCTGTCGCCCAGACTAGAGTGCAGTGGCCGCTCCCAGACACCGCAGCCTGGACCTGCTGGGCTCCGGCGATCCTTCCGCCTCAGCCTTCCAAGTTACTGGAACTACAGGCGCGCGCTACCACGCCCGGCTAATTTTTTGATTTACTGTAGAGATGAGGTCTCGCCAAGTTGCCCAGACGAGTCTCAAACCCACGGGCTCAGGCAATCCACTCACCTCAGCCTCCCAAAGCGCGGGATTACAGGCTGAGCCACCGAGCCCAGCTGTTTCATAAACATTTAAATGTCAGCAAGTCTTTCTCATCTTAACCTGACCCTACACTTACCTTTAGCTACTATCTTTTCTCTTTCACCACCAAACTTTGAAAAAGCTGTTTTCCACTTCTCATTCACCTTGCTCTGCAACTTGGCTCCTGCCCTACCACTCCCCTCAAAGTTCTCTCTACAAGGTCAACATCAAGATACTTTTTCCCATATCAAATGGATATTTCTGTCTTGCTTCCCCTTACTTTTCCAACTCAACAGACTATAACAATTTCTCATTTCTTTCCTTTAAAATCTTCTTGATATACTCTTCCTTAACTTTCATGATACTGTATTTTCTTATATTTTCTTTTATTCTTCTGGCCACTTCTTCCTAATCTCCTTCATTGGTTCTTTTATTTTATTTTATTAAGTTGGGTTCTCACTCTGTTGTCCAGGCTGGAGTGCAGTGGCACAATCATGGCTCACTGCAGCCTTGACCTCCTGTGTGGTCCTTACACCTGTGCCTCCCAAATAGCTAGGACTACAGGTACATACCACCACACACCCAGCTAATTTTTTAATTTTTTGTAGACATGATATCTCACTATGTTGCCCAGGTTGGTCTCAAAACTCAAGCAATCTTCCCTTCTCAGTCACCAAAAGTGCTGAGCTAGGGAGTTCTTTTTTTTTTTTTGAGTTGGAGTCTCACTCTGTCACCCAGACTAAAGTGCAGCGGCCGC